AGACGTAGGGAGGAGGTGTTGGTGGCTTGTACTCATATGGAGGAGGGCTGTAGACGTAGGGAGGAGGAGTTGGTGGCTTGTACTCATATGGAGGAGGGCTGTAGACGTAGGGAGGAGGAGTTGGTGGCTTGTAAACATATGGAGGAGGGCTGTAAACATAGGGAGGAGGTGTTGGTGGCTTGTAAACATATGGAGGAGGGCTGTAGACGTAGGGAGGAGGAGTTGGTGGCTTGTAGACATATGGAGGAGGGCTGTAAACGTAGGGAGGAGGTGTTGGTGGTTTGTAAACATATGGAGGAGGGCTGTAAACATAGGGAGGAGGTGTTGGTGGTTTGTAAACATATGGAGGAGGGCTGTAGACGTAGGGAGGAGGAGTTGGTGGCTTGTACTCATATGGAGGAGGGCTGTAAACGTAGGAAGGAGGAGTTGGTGGCTTGTAAACATATGGAGGAGGGCTGTAAACATAGGGAGGAGGTGTTGGTGGCTTGTAAACATATGGAGGAGGGCTGTAGACGTAGGGAGGAGGTGTTGGTGGCTTGTACTCATATGGAGGAGGGCTATAGACGTAGGGAGGAGGAGTTGGTGGCTTGTAAACATATGGAGGAGGGCTGTAAACGTAAGGAGGAGGTGTTGGTGGCTTGTAAACATATGGAGGAGGGCTGTAGACATAAGGAGGAGGCGTTGGTGGCTTGTAGTCATATGGAGGAGAGCTGTAGACGTATGGAGGAGGTGTTGGTGGCTTGTAGACATATGGAGGTGGTGATGGCGGAGAGTATGTGTATTGGGCACTTGTATGAGCAGCAATGGCATACAAGGCCAAGACCAACATAAGAAAAGATGGCCAATTACCAGGATTGGCCATGTCGATTAAACTTATTTGCTCTTGTTCTAGACTTTGCTTTTGGTTAGTATGATTTTTACTTTTAAACTGATTTATGTTTGAATGAATTGTAATCAAAAGGAAGCAGTTTATATAGCACATAGTAAGACAACTAGAACATTTATTTATAAACGTTTATTAAAGCGTCTAGTTAGAGCAAACATATTGTTTAATAAGTCAAAACTTGTCTAAGCTGTTTTTGTCTAAATCTAAATAGAGATTAGGGAAGAATATGTCTTTGGTAACTATCATTTACCATAATATAAATTTGAATTATGTAGACTTTGAAGTTTTCAATTTAAACTGGACGTCATTTAAACTCTGATTTCTCTATCACTGAATTTGTAAACCCTAGTTTTATATTACATCTTGTAGATTTAAATACAAATGTTATCGTGACACATAATTTTGAGCTTTGCTATTGAGTAAATTTGCCAAATGGTTGTAATTTTATTTTGTTATTTGTATACAATCACTCGTTTTCATATACATTTGTGAAAATAAAATAGTACTAACCCTAACAGTTTGATATGTTTTTATTATTATTATGTTCTCTTCGTATTTCAATCATCTTATGTCCATGGTCCATTATATGGACCTTTTCTTATTCCATTGTTTTCCAATCTTTTTAGTTTTTAATTTCATATTTTAACAAAGAAAATACTAACGATATTTTGTGACATCAAGACTAATTGTATTATAACATTCATACATGACATGTGAATTTGTTAGGGGTTGGGTGAATTTGTCAGTCATGCTCGACTGCCTCATTGTGTAAGATAGAAAAATTGACCATTACCAAAGCTACATATTCATGGATATGTCTAGTGGACAATCACTCTATTTGACCATTTCTCGAATGCCACATTCCACTTAAAACTATATGACTGAGACATTTTATTAGACTATTGAAGAAGATATGTTCTCCAAAACAATGTTCAACCTCAAGTTATAATGGATCATTGAGTTAACAAAAATAAAACTTTTTAATAGAAGGAGAAATGCTGATAGTGTTGTACATGTGCTATGTTGAAAAGTAAATTAAAATTTTCAAGCAAGTGTTGCTAGCTTTATTGGTAAAAAAGTTTAGCCAAAATTTATAACTTGCTGGTTCGAATGACATTTTGGAAGAGGACCACATAATGCTATGATCCTTAGCTTGAGAAAATGTACGATATAAACCCAAACATAAATATAATTACATTTATTTATAAAAATTAAACCATAATCTTCCTCTATAAATCTAAACCAACAAATATTTTTTTTAATTGTAAAATATAAACTCTAATGCATTTTTTATAAATCCAAACCGACATAAAAGCCTACAGAATTTGTTTCTTTAATTTTTTTCTTACTGATTTTAGTTTTGATTTATTTTTGAAATAAAATATGACGTGGCATATTACTCTAATTTTTTTAGTTAAACTAAGATGGGGTGAATATGTAGGTTCACCACTAGGGGTGAACCCAAGTATTTTTCATATCTTTATGTGTAAACTTTACGATTCTTAATTTGTATTTTTACATAGTAGTGACTCCAATAAGAGATATGGGCACGACGAATTCATTATCAATATGGTATCATATGTAGATAGATTGACATACATTTTGATCGGGAACGGATTGCTCGTCAAAGGTTGTACATGTTTCTTCGGCTAATCAGTTTGCAAATATTAATTCTTTTCGGACCAGTTTTAGCATTCGACCACCCGATGGCTAATACTGCGAAAGGGTGTTAGTACATGTATAGTTTCATTTATAACCTTATAAGTAAACCCTACGACTTTTTGTATCTCTATATATTGGTGACTCTAATAAGAGATGGGAACGGAGAGCTTATTCTCCAATAAATCAATCTTTATTTCTTAAGATATTAATGAGAGATGAAGTTATATAATATATGTCAATGTCATTGAGGTAATCATTGGATCGTAGCATCGAATTATCTTTCATTAACTACTTTGATGTTTTTCTTTTTTTTTCTTTTAGTTCTCTTTTGATCTTAATGGTAAAAGTATAGCTAGTGTTTTATAAATTATTGATACGTAACCGTGTTTCACGAATTCGTTTATATTTCCAAATCAAGATGACCTAACGAAATGGGTTTACTCGAATACTAAAAAGCCATCCCATACTCGATATGGAAGACTAATTTCTTTGAATTTCATCGTTTTTTTTTTCTTTCTTTTTTTTGGTCTTTGAAACCGTCATACTATTAAGCTATCGGGAAGATATTCGCTTATAGGAAAAGCAAATCGAGACCGATGTGCCTTTGGATTTCATCTAAATGCCAGCTTTGGGGATTATAACCACAGTCCACAGCCAAAATAAACATTTCGAGAGGACAATATTATCCTAGTTCTGTATTGGACGTTTTATGCAAATAAACCATTCAAATCGTCAATTTTTGTAACTCTACCCTGCATATCCAAATATTGCAAAACGATCATACTTTGTCAAGAATAATACGCAATACAACCTTTATACCAGATAAATTTATTTTTCTAAACGATTTTATGGCCACATACATTTATTTTTGAAAATTCTAACGATATATCTGAACTTCTAATTTTTATATCTTAATTGTAATTTGTTTTACAAACATGATAGTACCGAGAATGGGTTAATATTTCATATTTATTTTGACTTTGCAGTACAGGCTTGCATTTTCTGAATTTGGAAGATAAAATTGCAAAAAATGACGACTTAAAGCGTTTAATTACACAAAATCCTTTGGATGTATTCATAATTGCCTAATCAAGAAGAAAATGTTTGGAGATAATTTGGCACTTAACGAAAGCTCTCTTCTATAAGGGTTTATCTTGATGAGATCGACGGTGTCTATTTAATGTCGTGGGTTTATTTAAAACAAAGAACGGTGATTATTTTAAATTACATATTGATTATTTTTAAGTATTATTGGTCAGTCATTCGAATTATGATGGCTAATAATATTAGTGGACTACTAAACAAAGCTATATATATTCATGCATATGTCCCGTGAACGATCAATTTTATTTGACCATTTCTCGAAAGCAACCTAATATTAGACTACTGAAAAAAGTACTTAAATTTATTTTTATTATTAGATTACCAAAAAAAGGTTTGGTCTCCAAAAAAATGTTCAAACCTCAAGTTATAATGTATCAACGAGTTAACCAAAAGAAATATTCTAACAGAAGGAGCAATGGTGATGGTGTTGTTCATGTGCTAGGTCATCTCTTTTTTTTTTCACATGAAATATTAGTGAGAAATGAACTTCTATATTATTTAAGTACTAATTGGATCATAAATTTATCTTTAATTTGATATCGTCCACTTTTTAAAAAAAATTATTTTCTTTAACTTCTTTTTATTTTCATTTCTTTAAAAAAAATTATTTCCTTATCCCTCATTTCTTTAACCTCATTTTATATTTATATAGTATAAATATGAACATCTTGTATTCACTGTGTTGCATCGATTTAAAATCTAATAAAGTACTATTCAGAAAACCACCTTCTCTTCATTTATTCACATGGTATCAGAGCCCTTCTAAAACCCTAACAGGTAGCTGTAATGGCAGAAAGGCTTGATCCTTATCCCTCATTTCTTTAACCTAAATAAATTTTTTTTTAAAAAAATTTCTTTAACCTCATTTTATATTGTGGTAGAATTAATATTTTATAAAACATTGATATCTAACCAAGTTTCACTTTTTAAATTGTCTGCTGTTAAGGCACACACTTTGGCGAGAGACATTGCGAAGAGTGTTACCAAAGATGGGCGACTCACCTCCTACGTTGCTTTAGGTGGACCGTTGTGGCTCCATGAGAAGATTGTTCAAGAGCAAAGAGCAAGCTTTTAGTATTTGAATGTTCTTGTTTATCTAATTACTTATCTGAGTTTGTTTATCTTTCTTTGGTTTAATAAAATCGTATGATTCAGCGTTAAAAAACCAAGTTCCACAAATCAATTTATTATATTTTTATAACAAATTAATTTCGTCAAATTTCGTCAAATGAATTACTCAATTATTGAAAAGGCAACCGAACCAAACTCATGTTGGATTTTATCCAAAATTGTTAGTTTCCGGAAACTTAGTTAAGTCTAACTCATAACCGAAAACTAATTTAAAGAATAATCAGATTCTAATACACCCCTCAAGCACAAGACCAGACTTTTGAAACATAAAATTTGTAAAACTCGACATCAACGAGTAACAACCACTTATCAGGCCCGACTCAAGTAGGATGGACAGACGGACAACTGCCCAAAAGCCCATGCACTTTTCAAACAAAAAAAAATCTAAGAAAACATGGCCCATTTTTATTAAAAATTAGTATAATAGGGACCAAAAATAATAATGGGTCCATGTGATTGAGTCAATTTTCGTTTTTTTCTTTAAAAATATGAAAGGCCCAATTATGGACCAAAAAATTGATTTTTTTAAATATAAATTAGATAATAAGGCCAAAAAATTTTTTTTTGCACGAAGGCAATAGTTTATGTTGAGCTGGGCTACCACTTATAAGAACATTTGTTTTAATACCATATTAGTACTCGATCTAACTCACATCCAAAAACTAACTCAAAAGAAAAGGATCGCCAAATCCTCTATATTCACAAATCCCGACGTAAGAGCTACTAATAACCACATCCAAAATACCATTCGAGAGAAAAATACTATCCTACTTTTGTACTCTCAATTTGCCCTATCTTCAATATAAAATATTTATCCTAATCATATCCACCTAATTAAACTCATAAAGAAGAAAAATAAAACAAATGTGCATTATTATTAATGGGTAGGTGAAATGAAACCTAATAAATCATTAACACATAAACCCTTTAGTGAGCCGTGGCCATACCCATCACCACTAATCTCATCCAAACCAAAAATTACAATAATACCCCCGAAAATGGCAGAGCGTGTGTCTCTCACACTCAACAGCACCAGCTTCTTCCTCCTTTCTCCTCCTCCTCCCAAAACCACCACAACCATGTCTTCTTCTCTCCGCACAACCACCGCTGCTTCTCATCTCCTCCGCCGCTCCTCCTCCTCCTCCAGATCTACACTCACTCTCTCTTCTTCTATCTCATTCACTAGATCTCTCGTCTCTTCTCCTCTTCTCTCTTCTTCATCCCTCTCTCAGGTACGCTTCACTCTCTCTCTCAGATTTTGTTATACTCTATAGTTTTCACGACCTGATTTGATTTCAGAAGAGTTATCGTAACCGAGTCGCGTCGGTGAATCGGAGTTTTAACTCAACCGCCGCTACGAAATGTTCATCAGATCCTGATCAGTTGAAGAACGCTAGAGAAGACATCAAAGAGCTTCTCAATACCAAATTCTGCCATCCAATTTTGGTTCGTATTGCTAAAACCTTCCTTCTCTAAATCCGAAGTAATCAATCGCTACGTTTGTATTGATTTTGTTTGCGTTGTGTTTTGAATCAATAGGTTCGATTAGGGTGGCATGATGCTGGAACGTACAACAAGAACATCAATGAATGGCCACAGAGAGGTGGAGCTAATGGTAGTCTTAGATTCGATATTGAGCTTAAGCATGCTGCTAATGCTGGTACTATTATATCACTTTGTTACCATATGTGTGTTAGCTTCTCTTTTTACACTTGCTTGTTTTGCTTATAAGCTTTGTTTGATGTTTTTGTAAGGTCTTGTGAATGCTTTGAATTTGATTAAGGATATCAAAGAGAAGTACTCTGGGATTACTTATGCTGACTTGTTCCAATTGGCTAGTGCTACTGCTATTGAGGTGAGGTGTGATGATTTATAAACCTTTGTTGTTAACATTTACTTGAAAGGTTTTGGAATGTTTTAGGAAGCTGGAGGACCTAAGATACCTATGAAGTATGGAAGAGTTGATGCCTCTGGTCCTGAGGATTGTCCTGAAGAAGGAAGACTCCCTGGTAATTAAAGTGTCTCGTTGCCTCTTCTTTGGGTACATTAATTGTATCACAACTTTAGTAATAACGGATATCTTATGTTTCTATAGATGCTGGTCCTCCTTCACCTGCTAATCATCTTAGAGAAGTTTTTTACAGGATGGGACTAGATGATAAGGTGATGATTGCTGTTGAATATTGATAGTTATGGAAGATAAGTAGGTTTAGACTTTTAGTGGTCTATATTGAAAGAGTTTTTGTATGTGCAGGACATTGTTGCGTTATCTGGTGCTCATACCTTAGGAAGATCTAGGCCAGAACGTAGTGGTTGGGGGAAGCCAGAGACGAAATACACGGTAATGTATTATCCAGTTCTATAATGTATTGTTGTATAATATGTCGTAAAGTTAGATTTTTATTATATTTTTTTTTTGTTTCACATTATAGAAAGAGGGGCCTGGCGCACCAGGAGGACAATCATGGACACCCGAGTGGCTGAAGTTTGACAATTCTTACTTCACGGTTGCGTCTCAGAACTTAACTCTTTCTTCACACTTTGTTATGAATCTCTTCTTCTTTCCGTTTTTACTGTCTTATTAATATAACTAATATAACAGGAAATTAAGGAAAAGAGAGATGAAGATCTCCTTGTCCTACCTACTGATGCAGCCATCTTTGAAGACTCTTCTTTCAAGGTATAAAAAAAATGAGGTTAAACATACATATCCATACTAACTAACTTACCAAGTCTTTACCTTTAAAACTGAAAATTGAATGCAATTGCAGGTATATGCTGAGAACTACGCTGCAGATCAGAATGCATTCTTCAAGGATTACGCTGTCGCCCATGCGAAGCTCAGCAATCTTGGAGCAGAATTCAACCCTCCTGAGGTTTGTTGTCATAATACTTCCATCATTACACTAACATAATAATGAAAATGATTTTAAAAGACACACATGAGCATACATAAAAATTGTGCAAATCTGACCGAGCATGAGCAATAGGAAGATGTATAGAATTCCTACCTTTCGTAAGTCATTGATAATCGTGTTAGAACCATGTTACTTGAAGAGATAGACATCATCTTTTTTTTGCCATCAGAGTACGTAGAATCTCCATTGATGAATGAGTTTGCAGGGGCGTCATATGAACTGATTATTGTGAATCCTTTTTGTAGGGAATCGTAATCTAATGGGGCACCGGCACCTAACTTACTCGTCCAGTAAGCTTTTCTTCTTCTTTTATGTTTATTTTGCTGTCATCAACCAAAAAGTCCAAATGTTCACAAGGTTCTCTCTCTGATTTTACTTTTTTCAGGCTGCGGGACTTGTGATTTCAGAAGAACTTAGTTCATAATGTCAAAGAAGAATATAGGAAGGAACCGAGGAACTGATGTTGAGAGAAGCAACTTTTGCAGAGACCAAAAAGTGTTTTGATAGTTTTCAGTTTTTCATGGTTGAATTGTCATAATGGTTTTGGGTTTTCTGATGTTTTTCCTTGTAATAAATTGCGGTATTATCCAAAATCCCATAAATTTTGTTCTGACATTGAAAAAAAGAGTTTGTGTTTTAGATTCGGAAAAACTCTTATGACTTATGAATAATATTTGATGGATGCCCATTATGGGTCCATTAGTATATTCTATATACTCTAAATCGTACTGGTACTATAAGTTTTTGAGGACGTCCACATATGATTTTAAACGACCAAATAGTAGTTAGACATCTAATTAGTTGATATTTTTTTTCCATCTTATTAATTAACATTTTTGAATTCTAATTTTTTATATATTAAAATATTGATAAAAAGCATAAAGACCATATGTGAAATATTTAGGGGAAATTTCAAAAATATTTTTTTTTCTAATACCACTTTTTTAAAATACCGTTCTTTCAAATTTTATCAAAAAATCACTGAAAATTTAAAATTTACCAAAACAATATTTGTAAGCTTATATATATATATATATATATTTTGTCATCATTTGTAAGCTTATATATATAGATACAAATTATCTTTATATGTGCTGAAATTTATATATATATATATTTCATAAATATGGTTTATAAGGCAAAAATATTATAGAGAACATCTCTCATGTCCTTTTTTTAACTTTAAATCTCTTATCTCCCTTTTTATTCAACATACTCTTCCTTCATTAAACCAAATATATCATTGCAAAACTACCTTCTTTATTTTCTCTTTCTTTTATTTAGTTTAATTAAAAAAACAAAAAAAAAAACAAAAAAAAAATCAGAACTCGACGTGAGGCTCCCCTCGCCCTCGTCCGCCTCCTCCTTCCAAACCCGACGTCGTGCTCGGTTTTTGCTGCCGGAACTGTCGATTCTGGCGACGTCGGAAGCCCATCGTTTCTTCTTCTCTTTTGAGCTGTACAAAGCTCCAAAATGCAGCTACATTGTTCAACTATAAGCTTGATATTTGTATAGATTTTTGATGATTGGATTTTGGTTGAGAAAATAAATCCTTAGCACATTTGATGTTTTGCCATGGGTTTTGGGTTGATTGAGCTATTTAGTTGATTAGAATGAAACCTTCGATTCGATCTTGAATTGCAGAGTTTAGAACCCGAAACCTTCGATTCGATTTTGATTATAACTAGTACAACTTGTACAAATAGTAAAACTGATCAAGTTAGTATTACGGAATAACTAGTAAAACTGGTAATACTGATTAATGCAGTCGTACAAGTAGTATTACTAATTGAGTTTTTTGTATTTTTTTTTTTGCAAGATACAATGAGCGAAAGCATTTACATCTTAAGTGTGAAGTTTGGATGTATAGTATTATGTTCAAGACAAAAACGAGTGATATAACGTTGTAGATGCTAAAAGGAAGGATAAACAAGAAGGTTGGATATGTTGAGAACCACATTAAATTGGAGTTAAGCTACTATCCACTATTGGCAGAATTGAATGAGAGGGAAACATGTACGATTTATGATGATAGGATGTGAATGTGTATTTAACGTCTTTTGATAAAGAGGATCGAAGATGTATGTTGTTTGTGGATGTCACAAAGGTGTCGGAACATGTGATTGAAGATGATGATGATGATAATGAGGCTGTTAGAGTGGACCAAAGCTCTGTTGGTATGAATTATCAAAACCAACAGACTAGAGATTATGAGGCTAACCCCAACAGACTAGAGATGATGAGGCTAACGCCATTGTTCTATACGTAGAGAAAGAAAAAGGAAAGGGAGTAGAGAGCGATTCTGAAACTTTAGGACGTGAAGAAGGTGATGAATATGTTGAACAACCACCCGTTGTAAAAACTTCTCAGTTTATAGAGCCATGGGAAGACGGTTTTGTTTTGAGTAAATTTGACGAATTTACAAACAAGAAGGCATTGCAAGAAGTGGTGGATAAATCTTCGTTTGCTAACTGTTTTAGTTTTAAAATTTTGAAGTCTGGTAAGGTGCGTTATGTGTTGAAATGTTCTAAAGAAGAATGTACTTGGGGTTTCTGAGCTGCAATAGTGCAGAGACTGATATTTTCGATCCACCGGCACAACAAGATGCATAGTTGCTCTCGCGCGAGTCAAAGTTCAAGCAACAGTAAGAGGCACGACACTCCGGACTTAGTTGCATCTCTTTTGCATGGTGATTATCCAGGACGTATGGAAACTTCACGTCCCAAAATAATCATGGAACTTGTCAACACAAAATTAGGTGTGAGTGTATCATACTCAGCGGCATTGAGAGGGAAACATAAAGCCGTTAGTGATTTGCGTGGTAGCGCGGAAGAAAGCTTCAAAATGCTGCCTTGTTATTTGCACATGTTATAGACGATTACTCACGGTACGAGAACATATGTGTATTTGGATGAGAATAAGAAATTCATGTAATTTTTCATAGCTTTATGAGTTAGCATTGAAGGGTTTCAAGTCATGAGGAAGGTTATAACTATGGAAGCAACATTTCAGAAGAACGAATATGGTGGTTTTCTTGTTTTTGCATCGGCTCAAGATCCTAATCGTCATCATTATCCCTTAGCGTTTGGTGTTCTTGATGGTGAGAATGATGCGAGTTGGAATTGGTTTTTGGATATGTTGAAAACCGTTATTGGGGACTCCTCTGAAATAGTATTTATGACTGACAGAAATTCAAGTTTCATCAAAGCCATAGCTAATGTGTATCCACAAGCTCATCATGGGTGTTGTATATACTATTTGTCCCAAAGTTGGTGCCTTTTGTGGAGAATTACTTGCACGATTTATGGGGTGATGCTGAGAAACTAAAAGTGACTGAGCTAAACACTTTTGAGCTTCAACACAATGTCATTGACAGCGACGGGAAGCCTTATTTGGTGAATTTTCTTTTGAAGAGTTGTTGTTGCAGGTTTTTTGATATTAAAAAGTACCCTTGTTTACATGCATTGGCCGCTTTGGCCGCTTTGATAGAGTACCAAAAGACTAGAGATCGAAGTAGGGATATCCAAATGCATGAGTTGTGTTATAGGTATTATTGGATAGAGCTGTGGGCAATGGCGTATTACCAGACAATTTTTCTAGTACTAGATAAGTCTCAGTGGAACGTCCCGGATTACGTGAAAGATGTTCAAATCATTCTGCCAAAACGCAAAACTAAGGGTGGAGTTAGATTTGCGGAATGAGAATGAGAATGAAGAATGAAGGTGAGAAAGAGATTGGGAGTGATGATGAATAATGACCAAGAATAGAGAGAGATTTGGAGAATAAGAGAGAGAGAGAGAGAGTATTACTCTCTTCTACTTCAATTAGGTTTACAACCACACATATATATGTATGAGGGTAATGGATAAGCTTACAAGGGAAGCTAATAATATTAATAATACTAATCTATTTTATTTTTCCCTTAACATCACCCGTATGTATAGTATACACCATTGTAGAGATGAGCCTAATGGTCAATACTATCCTAATTTAGTCAATATAGAATAGACCAATATAAAGTAGAACATAATGGTCTATTCTATCTTGACATACTCAAGACTACCCCTCAAGCTTAAGTGTAGAGACATGGGAGGTTAAGCTTAAAGATAAACAAGCCTAGTTGAGTGTCACACTTCATTGAACACCATTAAGCTCGGCCTCGTCTTCTAGACTTCGGCCTTAGGTTCTCCTTTCTCTTCTTCCTCTCTAACATCAAGCTTGGGCAGCGGGAACCAAAGGCCAAGCTTGCAACACGCAAATAACTACCTCATTAAAAACCTTAACAAAGAAAACCTCATGGGACAAAACTTTGTTAAGGGGAAAAGAGTATAGTCTTCACGGTTGAATTATGTAGCTATGACCATGGTTTGAATGTGAGATCTCTTTGGCTTCTTGCTTTGACTTCTTGTTGAGACTCTAATCCTCCGTGTGTGTACTCGCTTGAGGGCCTTTTCGCTCTCGGTCACCACCATGAATTGATCTTCATTGAGTCAAGCTAGAATGATCCATCTGGTTCTCTTCTTCTCATCTAGCTTTTGGATGGCTTTCTTTCCTTTTGCACCTTCAACAAAAAAAGATCTAAAGAAATCTTAAGTATATTGGCCACAAGAATAATATTAAGCTAGATTGAGGCAAAAGAGAACAAAATTTAATTGAACTAGTCTCTTGCTAAGCTCAATTTAACACAAGAGAAAAACAGGTTTTAAACATGAAAATTCAATTTAAACATGACAGATTAAGCTTGATAAATCCGATTAAATTGACGACAAATCTCTAAAAACAAATCCTAAAATTCATTCTCTCTATTCAGATTCTAAGCATGACAAAAACACTTTAAATGCATGGCTAATCTGAATAAAATGTGAGCAATGAATTAAAGATATTGAAAGAGTTAAGGGTTTGGAGATAGCCTTTTGTCTTCATTGTTGTAATGTAGTGGTTGAGACTTGTTTTGCACCACCAATTGAGTTTCTGCTCCATGGGTCTCCTCTTCATGGTTGATGACTTACTAGAACTCAAGCCACCTCTTCTACATACAATGTTGGATGAGCTTTATGGTTGGCTTGGAGACTTCTTCTCCAGCCGCTTCCTTTTAGGATCATTGGAGCTTCTTTCACAGCTCCACATTACATGCCTAGATCTACTATCATGGTCACACACTCTCCTTGATATTGATTGAATGGGGGACGAAAACATAGAAGAAGAACACTTTAGCAACCTCTCTTCACACTTCAGCCACGAACTCAACCTCCCCCTTGCTAGAATTCACAAGAATAGCCCTTAAACTCCTCCAGAAACCTTTTTAACCTTCTCCTTTGATCTGCCATAACTCACACAAGCCAACCGTTTCTCCTGTTCCCTCTAGAAGTTACAAGACTCACTAAAAAAAATGAGAAAACGGCTGCTCAAGTTTCTAACTCGACCTAGGTCTTCTCCTAAAACAAACATTCAATTGAACCAACAATTTAAAAATTAAACCATCAACCCAAAATTTATTGGTGTCGATCGATACCCAACACTGGTCTCGATCGACCCACCAAAATTTCAAACACGGATGTTACAAAATCAGAATATAATAAAGAAGCAGACAGTGAAAGTAATGATGACAACGACCGTGAAATATTTACAATGAAAATTACAAAAAAAAGAATATGAAGAGTACAAAGACGATGAAGGTAAAGAGAAATACAAAGACATAGCTAGGTATTGCCAGC